GGACATGCATCCAATGTCAGTATGTGCACTCAACTTGGGTGCGATCTAAAAGCAGACCCCTGTGAGCCCTTGAAGACCCATTTTCCACATCCAGTAACCAAGGACAATGTTTTTGTTATGATGGACGCTTGCCACATGCTGAAGCTGACACGCAATATGTTGCAGGTACATGCTCATTGTTTCAAATATCTGCTCTGATTGAGTCTCTCCGCTTTTTATACATTTTGATTGTATTTACATGATTGTGCAGAATATAGTGCTTTACAAAAAAAATCTGATTCTGCAGGCATACAGCCCCATTGGAAGCATACATGGCAGTATCAATTGGAAGTACATAGTCCATCTGAACAATGTCCAAAAGAAAAGTGGACTACATGCTGCCAATAGAGTCACAGATAAGCATGTGAACTTTTCTAATCAGAAGATGAAGGTATGTTTGTATGATGCTTAATGTATAGAGGGCCGCAGTAGTAATGGGCTCTAGGGCTATATCTGTATATATTGTTTTATTTTATATAAACTTTTAGATGTTTGTAGCGCTTATAGGCACTTAATTTCTCCTTTTACACTTTATCAAGGTCTCCCTGGCTGCTCAGACTTTGAGTAGCTCTGTGGCAGTGGCGCTCTGCACGTTGCAGGAGTTGGGCTATGCAGAGTTCAAAGATTGTGAGGCTACTGCAGAATTCATAAAGGTAATGCAGCAAGGGATTTGCATTGTTGACCAAAATCATCTTCAACATTTGAGTGAATTATTGCTTTAACCCATTTAATCCTTTAACGCTCACCTTCCATTTGTGGTTGGTCTGTAGGCAATATTTAAAATGTGAATGTCACCAGAATTAACCCTGTATCTTTTTATTTATTTATTTTTTTAATTTAGGCATCAAGAACAATTAAATAATTACTGAACATCCTCAAATTCAACAATATGCTAGAAGTTGGATAAAACTCTTTATTCCCACCTCATACTTACATCAGAAACCCCCTTATTGCCACATCTCAGATTCACAGGTTTAAATCAGTGCAGTAATTTAATAAAAAAATGCATAGCCACAGAGGAAATTGAGACAAATCATACTATGCCTTATCCTTTGGTGTTTACTATCTGATACTTGTTGACACTCAGTTACAGTGATATTTTTTTGTGCTTCTAGTAAATTTAGATATTTGTTTATAGATAACAGACAGGCTGTTTGACATCTTGAACAGTCGCAATCCCAGAGGCAAAGGCTTCAAAGCACCC